GTGGGTGACTAGTAGTCGCGGTACTTGGAACACGCGAATCGCTTAAACCCAGGAGGAGGGAGTTGTTAATGAGCAGAGATCGTGCCACTGCACAAGCGTTGGCGCGAACAGAGTGATACTCCATTCTCGAGAAAGTCACGGAGACAAGACTAATTTGCAGTTAATAATAATAAAACTCCAGTCTCCTGCACAGCCGCTCCTGCTGTGGAGAAAAGAGAAAGAAAGACAGAAGGGGCAGGGTGAGAGGGGCAGGAGGCAGCGAGGCAGGAAGGAAAAGGACGGGAAAGTACAAAGGAAGCAGAAAAGAAAAGACAGGAAAAGTGAAAGGAAAAGAAAAAAAAAAGTCAGGAGGGTACATCTGTGTAGTGTTGGGGGAAAAAGGGAAGGAGGGAATATTCATCAAATACCTATAAAGCAATGCCTTTGAATCTTTTTTTTTTTTTTTGCAACCTCTGCCAGCCAGGTTCAAGCGATTTTCCTGCCTCAACCTCCTGAGTAGCTGGGATTACAGGCACCTGCCACCGCACCTGGCTAATTTTTGTAGTTTTAGTAGAGACAGGGTTTCACCACATTGGCCAGGCTGGTCTTGAACTCCTGACCTCATGATTCATCTGCCTTGGCCTCCCAAAGTGCTAGGATTACAGGCATGAGTCACCACACCTAACCATTCTGAATCTTTTATGTGCAGCTATGTTACCTGATTTAATAGGCCGGGGGATGGGACCTCAGATCCTTTTTTTTTTTTTTTTGAGACACAGTTTCACTCTGTTGCCTAGGTTGAAGAGCAGTGGCGTGATCTCGGCTCACTGCAACCTCCGCCTCCCAGGTTCAAGTGATGCTATTGCCTCAGCCTCCTGAGTAGCTGGGATTACAGGTGTGTGCCACTACACCTTGCTAATTTTTGTATTCTTAGTAGAGACGGGGTTTCACCGTGTTGGTCAGGCTGGTCTCGAACTCCTGACCTCGTGATCCGCCCACCTCTGCCTCCCAAAGTGCTGGGTTTACAGGTATAAGCCACTGTGCCCAGTCTCTACACTTATTTTTTAAATTATTTATTTTTTAGTGTTGTGATAGTGAAAGAGATTCTACGCTTCTAACAAATGACCAGATGAAGCCAATTCTGCTCGTCTTCAGATCACACTTTGAGCAAAGCTACTCAAGAGCATCTCCTTTGTGGATAACATATGTAAGATTTATGAAATAATGCTTCCTTATTATGTTTTATGATGTTTATTGTATTCTGATTGCCAAGTTCAATGGATGATGCTCCAGTCTAGCTCTTTTTTTATTTTTTATTTTTTATTTTATTGAGATGGAGTTTCACTCTTGTTGCCCAGGTTGGAGTGCAATGGTGCACTCTTGGCTCACCACAAACTGCACCTCTCGGGTTCAAGCAATTCTCCTGCCTCAGCCTCCCAAGTAGCTGGGATTACAGGCACCCGCCACCACGCCTGGCTAATTTTGTATTTTTAGTAGAGACAGGGTTTCACTATGTTGGCCAGTCTGATCTCGAACTCCTGACTTAAGGTGATCTGCCTGCCTTGGCCTCCCAAACTGCTGGGATTACAAGCGTGAGCCACTGCACCTGGCCCAATTCAGTGTTTTTTAAAACATATTATATTGTTGAACTATTCAAGGCTATCTAATTCCAGAACATTTCCATCACCTGCCAAAGAAACTGTATACCTATCATCTGTCAGTCTCAATTCCTCCCTCCCCAACCCCCAAGAAACCACTAATCTACTTTCTGTCTTCATAGATTTGTTTATTCTGGACATTCAATTCATTTGCCTTCTCCCCATCTTGGCCTTTTTGCCAGACACACTCTTAGGTGAGGACTTTATAATTACCTCCTTATTGCCCCCTT